TAAAATATAATTTTGTTTCTTCAAATGTTATTTTGTTTTTTATTTGTTAATGTGTTTTTGAATTGTAAATGTGTTTTGCACTTCTCAGCCACCGTAACTAAGCCATGCCTCACTCAGATATTTACACAAATTAAAAAAAATAAAAGTCCAATGAAACGAAAAACAAATTGTCTGCACGTTATTTCGTTGTGATTATTTCCTAAACTGTGAATGTTGGTTTTCATGCAAATAAAAGTGGGGAATCTAATCAAGTCAGGTTGTCTATTTTAGGGCAAGTTCGAATTTGGCAATTTAAAGAGAGATAGGTAAATTTATAGGCTTAAAACTTTAAAATAACCCCAAGGGACCCCGCCTCTGTCCTGCGAATAAATGTGTGCTCACATTGGCAGAATTCAAAGCGCTGTAGATGGTATCTAGTGTCTGGATCACCGGGGTTTTCAATCGCGGCTCATCCAACCGAACTATCTTTCCGACACTAGGGGGCGTAATAGGCCAATGGACGCTGATAATATCCTTGGAGGACATTCAAAATGATAAAAATGCCACCCATATTTCATAAAATGGGTTTACTCAAATAATAGGCCTCAATAATATAGTGATACTTTAAGATGCTAATTGCCCACCCCGTTAGGGGGAACAATAAATGAAAGAGTGAATCGAGCTGAAATCATGGTTAAACAAATAATTATGCACAGAAATTCACCAAATCTTCCATTCAATATATAAGACTTTATCAAGAAAAATCATTGCCTTGTCAATTTATGCAATTTTGTGCTGTAAGTCCTAAAAAGAAAAGGCGACAAAGCATTTCACTGTTTTTACATCTGAGAGGAAGAAGAATCCTTCTTTGCGCATGCGCCTAGAACGATTTGGCCACGACGGACGGGAGAAAATCTAACATGTTTGATATTCTTCCGACCTCACGATTCCTGATCAGGAGGCGGTCATGAAAGTCCGTTCGATCTAAAAAATTCTTGTACGACGGGAAAATCGCCCCGAAAATTGCACAGTGTATGCCAGGCTTAAGGCTATTCACCCTCCTATCAACTCTGACTAGCTTTGAATCATCGCTGTTAAAAATGATCCCCACAGCATGATGCTGCCACCACCCACATGCTTTCTGCATCCCTACATGGTCTGTAGGAAACTAAAAACCAAGCATCTTAAATATTTCTTTAAAAAATGTTCCCAGACATTTCGACCACAACTTTGAACCAGTTTGAGTTTGTTTGCCATAAAAACCTTTAAGTTATAGTTATCACGTGAGGAAATGTAAAAAA